GCATGGTAGGGGCTGTTTCATTGGCCAAGCGCCTTCAGCAAATACGACCTCAGGCGCTTGGCCAATGAAACAGCCCCTACCATGCCAGTGAGTGGTTCTATTCCGCATAGCGAAGACTCAACTTGATTGCCCGGGAGGAGCAACCCCGTTGACCCCCCAGGCGTAAATGTTTTGCCCGAATGTCCAACTTCAATGGAAAATGGTATAGTTCCACTAGGAGACGACAACAAACGCGCCCCTCGTCTCGCCTGTGAGTTATGTTCTATGGAGTCTCGAACCATAACATTCCAACCTGGAACGCGAAACGGACCAACAGCACGCTGTTTAATTGTCTTATTTATTTCCCCCCCCCCCGCCGAGTCAACGGTTGTTCCACCCGAACCTTGCCCAGCTAAACCGAAGTCCTTCTACTTGTGATCTGGTATACTGAATGCCTGCACATCCAGCTCGACTTACTAAATGGTGTCCGTTACATTGAGAAGTTAAGCTGATTAAGACCGTGTAAGCACTTCAGTACTACTCCTCAGGTAACGATGGTCAGGGACTTGGATCGAGGCCCCATTTTCGTAGAACGGCCCTCGCCGTGACCACACAACTTTTCACACAGATAGAAATCCCCTTTTAGCTTGTGGATGCCACAGGTTCGAAAATGAAGTACTGGCTTTCGCAATACGTGAAATTGCCTCAACGTTCGTTTGCCTATCACATTCAATGCAAGTTTCATCAAGTATCTGGTGGTGCTTCAATAGCACCTCACGCAATGAAGGCGCGGAGCGTTTACCCAAGATTAGTACCACTCCACAGAGTATTTCCAAGTTTGGCTTAGTCGCCTTACGATTATCATACACTAAGTCTGTATCGTTCATCTATTCCAAATCAACTAGCTTTTCACTAGGCAGCGCCTCGACGCCTATGTGCTGAAACTCCGCAAGTGTACTCTTCATGATGAGGTCCGCGATAAGTCTTACAGAACTGGCGAACGCCTCTTGTTTTCTCAAAGGTATCCGACAGTTCGCTTAGTCCCATTCTGGACCTGTAGTGTTTGCGTGTATGGCGCACGAAATGATCCCATGTTTGTTGGGAACACCCTTCTGCTCAAATATGTCGAAAAGGACATTTCGGTGCATGATATTCTGCTAGAAAGCTGACGAGGATATGTTAGTAGTCCGATTTTGTAGAAACTAATGCCACCGCAACTCCAACCCCTAGTCTGTAGGACCAGGAGATTGTGTTTTGCTAGTCTCTAACCATTGGCCAAAATGGTAAGAGTCGCTATTAATGAACCCCGAAGTAGGTTCGTTATAGATCACTAGTTCCGGAAATTACACAAACCTTCGCACCACGGTAATTTCCTGTCTTCCATCGTGACGAGACTGGACCTTAATATGGTGCGATGGTTTGTGTACCTCCGTGTCCAACTGAGCTACGCTAGGTGACACTTAGAAAGTGCCTTCAGAACCACTCATATTAGAAAGGTCAATGGTTAGGGGTCAGATTAATTCATCCTCACAATCCTCGTTGGCTACGTAGAAGTCGATGGTCATCATCCCATAAAATCTAGCCATGAGGGACAACGGGTGTATGCGTTATAAGCTCACAGCTCGATTGGCGTAAAGAACAAGCGCTACGAATTGTCCTTGAGGTTTGGGGGACACCTTCTGGTGCTCAGTGGTTTGCTATCGTTCACCTCAAGCCACGCAGCCCCTGGTCACATTGGTGCAAATCCATCAACTCCTACCTGTGACTGGCCGTGCTCGCAGGTTCGTAACACGTGCATTAGTCTACATCTTCAAAGGCTTGTGACAAACCTCAAGCAAATCCCAATGGGTGTTTACAATCATACTCCTGAGCTGCACTTGACCTTCACTGCCTTGTGGGTCAGACTCTTGAGTCAAAAGCTAGAGTAGGGCACCTCGAACAAAACCTCTCTATCGGAAAGGACAGCCGAGCAATATCATCTGCCTTCTCAAACCCGTCTACAATACTCCCTCTTATTCGGGTGCTCCAAAAAAACCCGAAAATCTTCTTCTAACCGCTGTGTCAAACACTGCTTGCGGAGCTCAATGGCCTAGTGATCATGGCGATAGCCGCCAAGCACTGTGCCCCGAGTTCCACTCCTAGCTCAGCTATCTCTACCTGATGACTCTAAACAAAGACGAAACCGTCGGTCGTGGAGTGCAGGGGTGGGAGAGAGCCAAACCGAAACCCTCCCTCTTATTCTTCTTTTTGCTTCTATCTTTACTCTGTTCTCTCCGTCTATCTAGTACGAGACTGCCACTGATTTCGAAGCTGCTACTACCAATTTATGTAGCTCGTTCATGGAATCTGTGGTCTCATTTCCTATTGATTCTTTAAACCTCCGCACTCCCGGTCAGGTCGGCCAACGGACGACATTAACACCCAGTCTTCATTGTTTTGATATTGATGTGTGCTGTGTCTCCAGAGCACACCTTCAAAACAATAGCATTACAATAAATCTTCGACCCCCTGGTTTCGAAACCGCGGACGAAAACTACACGGGTTGCATCTCTGGCGGTACGGAGTCAATGACTCAATGTATTTACCATGTCGATATCGCCCTCAACAAACGCGCTAAAGGTAACCAACTTGAGTGGATACCAGTGAACAGCCGCATGTGTGCGGTTAGAATTGAAACCTCTGTTGGGGTTCATAAGTACCGTATGAAGACAACGTACATTTTCATCGTCTCCGTTTATGCCCCTACTGACTGCATTTTAAAGCGTACCAAAGGCGACTTCCATCACCATCTTGCATCTTTTCTCCTCATGGTGAGAAATCTTGACATCGTGGTTGTTGCTGATGATCTGAATGCCCAGGTGGATGGTCTTTCGGTTTCTGAACAACATCTGGGAAGGCGCTTCGATGTCGATGCATGCCGAACAGACAATGGTGATCGATTCCTACGACTATACACTGACCACAATCTTTACCTTTGCAGTACTGTGTGGTACATTATTTTTGCTGTTGTTGTGCGTTGTGAAAACTTTATTCACCACACTTCGGTGCTCGGATAACAGTTGTTCAACGGAACCGAACCGAACGTCATGATCACAATGGTTCAGTTGATCCTGAAACGCGTTTTGCTTACCAATCGCATTCTGTCAAATGCTTCAATATAAATTAGTAAACAACTTCATTGCTGTTCTGATATTCCCCGACGGTGGACATCTAACCATTGAACATGTCTCCCTATAGCTTGACGACTACGTTTCTTTTTACACAGTATTTTCAACTATGTTGAGCAGAGTATCACTTCAACGATACCATTTGGGCATTGATGTGCATTGTAAACGCTCCGATTCCCTTCAAAATTACCTGTACTTGAAAAGGTTACTGATAATTTGTGAAATGCCGATTATCTAAACACCTTTAGTGTTGAGCATTTTAATTCAATCTGTGGCTCCGTCCTAAATGTTTGCTTTTTGAAACCTTTTGTCATTTTTACTCCATCACCGATAACCGCTCATGGTTAATCTGTTTAGGAGGATCTCCTTGTTGGTCCTTTGGTGTGTACCTCGACGAACTGTCCACTGAGGTTCGTGTTTCTTCTCAGCTTAGTTGTACCTGAGCGAAGTGTGTTCCTCCAGTGTTTCATCTTTTCTCCGACAAATTGGACTACATGAGACATAGCTATCGTTTGCTTTCTCGATAATTCGAGTTGCAGAACGATTGACAATTTTTTTACATTTTACTACACTGCCATATTGTTAAAAAGATCTACAACTAGGCAATCGTCTAATACAGCAATAAATCGGAATATATGAGCCAAACGGGAATAAAATTGTCTTCAAGGCTAAAAGAACACAAACGAGCCTGTCGAAACCATTACCCATCATCTTTGATCTCGACACACGTTGATGCAGAAGGACACATCTTTGCTTCGGAGAAAACGGAGCTACTAGCGCAAGGAGAGACCAAAAAAGGGAGAGAATTCCCCGAAGCCTGGTTTTCTACATGCAGTTCAATAAACCAACGCATCGAGTTAGATCCGATATACGAGCAGCTGCGAAAAAAAGAGTTTACGTGGATCATTTGGCACATGAGTCGAAAAGTGGCGGCGCTGGAACTCCGAACTAGCAATGGTCACGGGGCTTGAATCGAAGTGAGCAAGTTCAAATGTCACTCGATCGTCGGTAAGAATCGACAAAACAACTCAGTTTGCTTATTACGCACTGAAGAAGTCACCGCGATTGGCGAGGAAACGTTTGCAACGGAGCTGTTCAGCTCGGTGAACAGAGCAAAATCTGAATCGTTTAAAACAGTTTGCATGCGGTGTTGCGGAGGTGCATACCTCAATTTATCAAACATGAACGCTACATCAGTTGTTGTGGAGTTCTCCGAGCTGGGCAACTTGACTGCAAACGTTTCGCCACCATTCGAGGTGGCATCTTCAATGCGGGATTGATTGCAGTTAAGCAGCAGTAGCTGGTGGAAAACAAACCCAACAATGGATCCGTCCATTATTGGGTTTGCTTTCTACCAGCTACTACTGTTTAACTGTTATCGATCCCGCACTGAAGATGCCACCTCGATTGGTGGCGAAACGTTTGCGGTCAAGTTGCCCAGCTCGGAGAACTCCACAACAACTGAGCAAGCCTCCCGAGCTACCAATATTCCAAATCATTTCATATTTGGTCATTGCCTAACATCGATTCGCCCAAGTCATTCTTGCGTTCGACGATAGTCACGCTGCTCTCTCTGTTTGGCTCACGACTGATAGTACGCGTACAAGTCCCAATTTACTGCCTGATAAGTGTGTGTATTCCCTCTCCACGACTATTCGGACCCGAATACAGGCCCTTTGTGACCACCTAACATAAAGGTTTATATCGTTTGGTTGGTTTTTTTTCATTATTCCGTCTTTTTGTTTCTCCTTTTCACACCATTTGTGTCCCGTATGCTGATTGTCAACGTGTCCTGCGCTTTTCATTGCTTATACACTCACGTCTCTACTTCCTACCCCCCGCTGTCTGCTGAAGCTTTCGAAGTCGGTCTTCTCCTCATGGATTTGATCCGGCAATGTGTCACATCCAGTGGGCCCAACACCGACATGTGCCTGCGCCTCAATCTGGCCGACTGTTTGGTGAATCGTTTGCTCCCAATCAACATGACGACGAATGCGATAGGCAAGTGTCGCCGTCAAGCATTGAATATTATGGAGGAACTGATGTTGACCAACGGGGGCGATGAGCTGATGCCGCTACTCCTCACTCAAATGCACGTGGCTGTTGTGGAACTGAAAATTGAGGCGAGTTTTCTGAAACACTTTCTCTTCCATCCGTTCTGTTGTAATACTGACTTCCGTTATCACGATGATGGATCATTTCATTTCTCACTGATCCCTTTTTTCTGACCCGAAATGGCTATTCATTGTTCTTTGCTGAGGTATTCTCATTTCGGCTGAGTACTACTCATTTTTAACGAATCCAACCCACACAACCTTAGGATTCTTCCTGATTCCATATAACTGCTTTGCCTCCCGATTCCACGGCAAACCCTGCATGATTCACCGCATAAATCAGTGTCTATGTCACATGATTCGTCAAATGATCGCTCCTACTTATGGGGCCGTGTACCGTCCGTCGGTCAATATACAAATTTATTTATTTATAATTTAAACTGGCCACACAATTTAGCTAAGTACAGTAGGATCATACGTAGCTCTGCAAGTACCGGGGTACAATGCACCAACTCTTGTCGCTATACAGGTTTAATTAGACATATTTAAAGAGGAAAATGTCAGAGAAACGATAACATATAGGTATGTGCGAGAGAAATGATCAGCCGGGCTATATCATAGTCAACTGTCAATCATTCAGATCCGCGGCTGTCATCCATGGCGAAGTGGCACTAGCTGCTGGCATCCTAAAGTCATGGGGGCGGAACCCGGCGCGGGTCCGCTGGTAGGCGCACCACTGACGAGACCCAGAAGGTCGAAACGCCGGCTTCTGGTGCTTTTCCAGACTAGCCTAAGCCTGCTGATTGGGAGTGACGGTGATGAATTAGCTGAAGAAAAGATTTCACCTAGCTGAAGACGAGAAATGGGGTGCTGGAATACCACGAAAGGATTGCGTACTGGCGTTGTACTTCTGAGGTGGCCGGTTCGAATCCGCGTCGGTGCGGGCGACCTTACGGGATACCTAGCCCACGTGCGACCCGTGGCGGTCACATTGCAGTGAGACGTCGGTACGGTGAGTCGGCTTACTGTTGGTGCCTTACATAGTGTTGGTTCTTCAATCCAAGAATGCTAAGTACTGAAATTGGAGACCTGGAATATATATCGCTTCATCAGGCACACGGAATAACGTCATTTATTATCGTGCAGTATCAGCTGGATACGGCTGCGCGACGAAACCCTAATAAGGTGCGATGCGCTCCGTAAATCTATGATCCGAAAAGTGGGTATCTAGAAATTACTTGAATTCTGACACAGCTTTTTCCTCGGCTGTTGTCTCAGACAAACTGTATCAATATTTCACCGCTCGAAGCAAAGAGGGTGAGCTATTCGCTTTAGGTCGAATACCACAACCTTATCGGGAATATTTATTTACTTATTGGCAAGGTTGCGCCGGTGTTCGCGAGTGTTGCTTGTTGCGCGCAATTGACGCAGCGAACTCAACTTGGGGAAGTGACCCTGATGCAATGTCCGGTGCCTGATTGTGGTCCATACTAAACCAGCGATACTACAGGGTGTACAACCATCGTTTCCTGGATCTGTTTTCCTACGACATACCACGTAAACTGGGGATGAGCCTGGTAGCCACATGCTACACACGTTCCAGTTCACGCATCTCGCCACAGTTTATACGTTAAGTCACACGATTCTTGTTTCATCGGCCTAGATTTGACCGTTTTCTTACTCTGCTTTCGTGGACCGAAACCCGCACGCTGGAGACGAGCACCGACCACACGACGCACCTAAACCAACCTGGCCTTCAAGAGGGGTACTTTTATAACTCGCCCAAAGCCAGTGACAACGTTGTTTTATTTCGGTCACATACTAAGGCTGGCACATACAATAAAACCTCGGAGTTTAACCACCTTTTATAGTTGACCTTTTTATTTTTCATTGCTTAAATGTTCACCGTGTAAATCTTATGGGCCCACGCCTCTGTATGTTGATTCCTCTCTAGATTGACCGCTTTGGTCCAGTCCCTTTAGTAAGCAACTTAGGATGGTTTCACTCTATGTGTTTTACCTAGAACGATGTACGCTGTTTTATGCGTATGTCTTCGAAACATAGGAGTTCCCTCGACTGTGTGCTCCAGTTAGACACGAAGAATGTTGGGGCAAAGCTTGTGTGGATTTGGTATGCTCGATCTTGTGGAAGTTCACGTTCCCGCAGATCAATTATAGAGTCTCATGGCATCCTCTCCCCAACGTGTGGCCTAACCCATTTGGCTGTATTCTCAGTTGAGCTTGCGAAAGACTGAATGTGTCCAATATGAATCGTGCAGTCGCGTCATACATTTCGCTTAACTACCGGCAGGAATGTTGTCAGACATTTCCTCACGGCCTTGGTGATCCCAACAGCAGCTCATCTACGCGACCTCATGATGAAAACGGTCGCATTTTCATATCTTTAATATGTAGTGACTACACCTTACCTATGAGGGTCGCCGTACTTTTATATTTTTCAGTCTGCCTTCGACTTCTCGTGGGCAATTGAAAAGGTTGCTGACATTCACAAACTGCAAATGTCTGCCTGCCATGATTTCCGGTGTCGTCCTTAGCGAACCACAGTTAATCTGCATTGTGGTGTACAGCGTTCTTAATTCAACTTCAACCAAGTCACAAGACATTTACAGTGTCCTGATTCATGCTGAATTGTTTCTATCTTTTGGCCGTGGGACTGAATGGAAAGTGCGTTTGTGCTTGTGAAGTCTGTCCGTACGTATTCGCACCTGTCTGCGTGTTCGTATACGTTACGCCGTGGGCATAATGCCCCCTTTGTAATTGTTGGTACAATAGGTTTGGAGACCGATGGTAAAGATGTAGTTCAACCTTCCTCCTCACCATCCGGTTTGATGTGGCGAAGATTCCACGCCTCGTGGTAAGGAATTCACCCTTCTCAGCTTACGTGTCTCTCGCTCCGCCGACCACTTTTTACGACCTGACGTTCCTACTGCAATCCCGAATTCCTCACTCGCGACCTATGTGTTCTCACAGATGCATAGGTTAGCCTACTCGAATGAATGAATGCAAGGTTGTCGTTCGATTGCGTTTTGAGCCAGGAGCACCGTGTACTGTCACGGAATCACCACATTCAGTAAAGCGGGTTGGTTCTCGGAGATCGTCCTCATCCAATGTGTTTTGCATTTCTCCTCTATCTTGCTTTTTTTGCTCTCCATCATTTGTGATATCCTATCAGTGCTAAGTTTAGCAACTCATCGCACTGTTTTGAATTGAACCGAGTCGAGTATTAAAACAGAAGTTGGCTGCTTAGTTTCGTACTCGTAGACAGCTCATCCGTAGTTACGTTGCACGTTGACCCGTACACGTAAGGAAACATTCTTCAGCGTAGTTGTATCAACCACATGTTGACTCTTCGCCAAGTTTTAGAGAAGCGACACGAATACAGAGGACCGATTATGGTGGTTTTCCGTGACTTGAAAGCTGCCTTCAATTCTGTTGACCGCGCCAGCCTGTGGTACTGACTATCTATGGAGGGGGAGCCGGCTAAAGTCCTTTCCATTCTGAAGTCTCTCTACCGTGATTCCCGAGGCCGTGTAAGTGTCTTCAGCAAACTGTCTCCGGAGTTCCCCACAACAAGTGGGGTTCGCCAGGGTTGTCCAATATCTCCTTTTCTCTTTAACTCTCTAATCGAAATGATCATGAATGACTCGTTTCTTTCAGACTCCACCGGATTAAAAGTTTTGCCAGGTGACCGACTGACAAGCGTTGACTATGCAGACTACATATTACTTCTCGGATCTGACGCAGGGGCTATGCTAACACTACTGGACTGATACGTGGCGCTGCACGCTTCGGCATGTGCTTTGCAGCTTCAAACGATAAGGTACTGCTGCAGGGCTGGACCGACACACCGGTTTTAGCTATCATCTAACAGTCACTTGCCTTGGTAGCTGTTTGATCTCTGGTGGTCAAGGAGCTGAGGAGGTTACCTCGCGTACCAGTATGGCCAGCATGGCTTTCCAGTGGCTCAACCGACTATACAGACGGCGGAATATCAGCCTGTCAATGAAGGGTAATGTGTGTAACGCTGTGGCAAGGCCAGTGTTACCGTATGAATCAGAGACCTGGCCGATTCATAGTGAAGACATTAGACGCTTGGCAGTGTTTGACCACTGGTTCTTGTGGAGGGTTCCTCACGTCTAGTGGGAACACTGGGTGGGCAATGCTGAGGTACACAAGTTGGTTTTAGGCAAGACGCCTTCTGGTACCGCGCCGACGTTTTTGCGAAACTCGAATCGTCTACCTTGGTCTTAACATGCTTTATGTGCGCGTGTACATTATACGCCATCGCTGCACCAAGTTGGATGAAACCGCGTGGTGTTGAGCCAATGACATGACATAGGGACATAGCGAAATTGATTGCGAGACTTGGTCAGGTTGGTGCATGACTTCTTCGTGGATAGGTGCCCCGGGTGGTCCATAGCAGTGTTTTGAGACTGTCAGACATGGCGCATTCGCGCAGTCAGTGACTTTCCTGTATTCGGTTTCTTGCATGTAGCCGTTAATTTTCTATCCAGATTAGTTTTGCGCACTTTTTCTTGATCTCAGTTTATTCTGTTTGCGTTCAGCCTCATTTTCTTACTTTTGTTATTTTGGGGACGTTAGTCTTGGTAACTAGATCCACCTCACTTCGTTGTTCGTATCATGGTTGTTCAACGAAACTGAACTGTGCTCGTATGGAATAGTGGCCAGGTGTGATCAGTTCCGCGTTTCTTGTAGTCCATCGCATCCACCGCATCTCTCGGTCTAAAGCGGAACCCACTGGTAGCCGGATTCATCAGTCCCCACACACACACTTGCCCGCTACCCTCCTCAGTCAGTATTGTTGAGTGCGGACACCGAAGTGTTCCCTCCGCAACACTGTGACAACACCGATACACACATTGGTTCATGCTGAACTTAACGAGTACTAAGATAACTTATGTTTTTCCATGTGCCTCTAGTTTCACTAGTAAATGATATATACGTGGCGATGCTTGTCTTTATGGGTTACTCCTGATAAATATATCTTCTATTCTCCATTATCTGTTCCTCTACTCCCGAAGTAGTGTG